CTACCGCCTCGACTACATTATTCACTCTCGATGCTGTTTAGGGGAGGGCTGTCCGACTGAACGCTGACTCTTCTGTAACAGACAGTCTTATAACCCTATGGGCTTTACTCCTCATGATGCCTCCGCGCGATGTGTCTGCCTTCACTTCTGCCTCCCGTCATAACTATGACGAACCTCGCACATCCGGAACTGGCCGATACGACCACTCCTTTGTCCCTAGTATGTCGAGATTGTGGAATAATCTTCAAGAGGAGATTTTTCCCAGCTCTTCTAACCTTATGCAGTTCTAATATTGGATTAACAAGGTTTCGTTGGGATCCGCTTGGCAGCGCTTTTACATATTAGTCGCGTTCATGCTAGTCAGTCGAATAGATTCTGGCCATCAGTTGCACTTTTGAGCTTTCCAGTTTCGAAATAACTAATTGATTAGCCAAAATACAGTTATTGACAAAAATTGACACGTGTTTAACAAACACCACGGAAAGCTCAAGACATACTGTTTAAGCTTAGTTTTAGAACGACTTTGAGAAAGCAAAACTATTTTTCGAAACATCAGTGGCGCACAATTTGTCGCTAAACATAAAGTCTGAACACTCCGTATCATCTTTTTATTTCAACGCGCTGAAGCTGCACTTAAGTTTTCCTGATCACATTCTGGTTAACCGGAAGCCCCGTTGGATTTTTTCTGAATTATTAGAGTTATCAATCACGGAATGCATGATACACTCTCTGTGCCTTCTACAGCTTTTCCCACATGTACCAGAGTGCCCACAACTTTAGATTGACATTGACTAATGGTGCAACAGATAGCTATCCAGGCTTTTTGCTCTGACAGTTAAATAAGTACATATTATACAATTAATCGCATCAACGAAAATAGGCGCGCATATTTTTATACCCACCTTTTGGTGGTGTTGGGGTAATTACTCAGCTCAAATTTGAGATTTCGCCATTATAACAAACAGATGATCGTTCTCATTACATTTTTTTGCCTGCAGCGTTATGAGAGGGAACAGGTCTTTTTCCAAAAATCTCTAGCCCAAAAATCAGTTCCGTGCAGAAAATAAAAAGCTATATTATAAAATCAAGATGGATTTACATCGGACGCAACAGTTAAAATTGTGAATCAAATACATCAAACCATTGATAACAATATCCCTTCTATCTGCATTTTTGTTGATTTAGAGAAAGCTTTCGACACAGTAAATCACAAATTATTATTAGAAGCATTGATGACTGAAGCACACTGAAGCAAATAGTTGAGAAGGATTTTATAAGGATCATTGACTGGTTTGAAACTAAAATTTTAACAGTTAACTTCAAAAAAACAAAATTTATTGTATTTACATCCTATTCAAAATTTTTACCTACCTTCGAACAAATTTCCGTTAATTATCATGGACAAAAGACCAAAATCGATAGAGTTAACACTTTGAAATATCTTGGAATATTTATAGACTCACATCTAAGGTGGGATAACCATATTAAATATGTTATCAAAAAAATTAGAAATGTTGCCTATAAACTCAAAATGCTTGCTAACATTCTTACAGAAAGTTATCTGCGAATCCTATACCATGCCTTAGTTGAAACCCATATAATATACGGCATCACAGCCTGGGGTGCCGCCTGCAGGACATATATTTCTGACCTGAATATAGCACAAAAAACTGTTTTGAAAGCCATTTTCCATAAGCCAAGATTATATCCAACGAACAGCTTATATCAAGAAACAGGGATACTTGATACAAGACAACTTTATTTCTCACATGCCACCACCTTATACCATAAGTATTGTAATAAAAGGAAAAAATCCTATAAACACGAGCATAACACACGATTTCGAATAGGCTCATCTAATATCCAAAGACCACACAAAACATTATTCAAAAAATCATTTAAATTCTAAGTAGCTAAATTATATAATATAGCACCAAACGAAATAAAGATACTTAATTTTGGAAAGAAATTTAGAAGAAAATTGAAAGACTGGGTTAGTAATGTGCAGCGAATGACTATACATAATTATATAGAAAACTAAAACTACAAAATTCCAATTACATTAATAGCTTTTAGATTTAACAATAATTGTTATATACATATATGATTGATTGTTAGTTATTAAGATATAAACCACACGCAGGCGATGCCTTCTGAGGTTTTTTCATATTTATTTGCCCATTTTTTGTATTCTGGCGAATGAAATATTATTATTATTGGAGAGAACTGGTTTCAGAGGAAACGCGTACTCACTGATCGAAAATTATCTATCAAATCGTTCACAATTTGTCGAGATATCAAGATCCTTTAGCAAAGAAATGTATATTAAGTGTGGTGTCTCACAAGGAACAGTCTTAGGGCCACTGTTATTCAATATATATTTAAATGATATTTTCCAAATTAATCGTGTTGGCAAAATAACTAGCTTTGCAGATGATACTGTAATATTATTTGAAGGCACTGAGTGGTCAGATCTAAAAAATGTAATTGAAAATCATTTTTCCAAATTATTCGGTGGTTGACATCTTCCAAATTACACAAATTTCTCCTTTATCATTGAAGATCAAAATATGCAAATTAATAGAGTGTCAAACATAAAATATCTTGGAATAGTCTAGGATTTTCACTTACGTTGAGACATATATTTCAATTATATTTTAATGAAAGTTAGATTTGTATCGTACAAAATACCTTGCGAATATACTGACAGACATCATACCATACACTGATTGAACCTCATCTCACGTATGGTATATTAGCATGGGCATCAGCATGTTCATATCAATAATTTAGATATTTTTCAAGACAGTATTCAAAAAATGATGTTTAAAATACCCAAACTTTATCTCACAAATTATACACAGATGTACAAATCTATGATATAAGACAGCTTTATTTCTTACATAGTATCAGCCATTACCATCAATTTGTCAACACCGACCAAAAAATTAAACATAATCATTACACAGGATGCAAAATTCGTGGCAGTTCCTCAGCCGCATAAATCTACAATGCAACGGTCTTGCATATCTCTATTTAGCGCCAACATTTAATGAAATTACACAAAAGGGTTTAAAAGACTTACGTTTCGGAAATAATTTCAAAATAAATTTGAAAAAGTGGCTACATTCTATATCTAGGACGGAAATTCATAAACTCATAAATACGAACATCAAGTAAATTCATAATCTACTGTGACTAGTTTTTGCCCTCTTTCATTATTTGCATTCTACAGTTGCAAATTCAAATTATTGGTCCATGTACAGGGAATGACTTCTATTGGACCTGTTTTGATTCTACATTTACTTTACTTTACTGATGTTGTTTGTTCTCCTTGCACATTGAGTAAATAAATATTATTATTATTATTATTATTATTATTATTATTATTACTATTATTATTATTATTATTATTATTATTATTATTGCATGGCATTGATTTTCAAAGAATCCCAATTCCAGGTACGAAGCCCGTAACTATCCAAATAAAAGTGCTAAGAAAAAATCCTGATGTCTCTTTCTGACCCACTAAATGTATAAGCCACATGAAAATTACTGGCTAACCAATTCGATCAGTTTCAATAAACGAGCACCAAAGCTACTCTTAAAACAAAAAAATATGCAGTCAGACATGAAATGTATTAATTTGTTAATTGTACACCAGATTGTTATACCGCAAAGCGGCGTGTCACCCCATGCAAGAATTTATCCGCCCGCCGCGACAACCGCCCAGCTTGACTTGCAGTAATTCACCTATCCTTTATTATCTGTTTACCACTCAGAAATAACCTGCAACATTAATGTATGCCTGGACATTTCTCATCACCCGCACTCACTGGCGCTCCCACGGTGGGTAAAGGGGTAATAGAATTGCAAAAATGTTTGCCAAATGCTCTAAAAAGCCCATGCAGTAAGCAATACTGTAGGTATAATGAAGGAAGTAATTGCGTTCTTCAAAGCATCCGCTAAAAGAAATACAGTATTAAAAAGAAAACTAGACGGATATCAAATTCATAGTATGGACCAAGAGACATGATTCTGTGCTCCAATTTGAAAGCAAATTCGAGAAATTTGTGGTGGTACTAAATATTATATCAAATTGAAAAGACCGCGGAGCTTCTGTCTTCTTTTGTCACTACTACTGACCACATTCTGGACGTTCCGCAACACTGTCCAATCAAAACACATACAATCTCTAAATCATAGGAGAAAGACGCTGTCGCTACGTGATAGAGTCCGACTACGGCAGAAGATGCTACGTACATCGACACATCATTCGTTTCCCACTGATTTCCAAATACTCCAATTCATCGTAGCCTAGGACCTTCAAGCTCTCAACATAATACAATCAATAAAGTTTACAATTATAAAGTAGACTTTGTATTGTCTTGTAGTGAGCAATCATTATTACAAATATTTAAAATAAATAGAGGATTCAATGGTAGATAATAGATAATTCTGTTTCTAGTAAAGCAAAAGATATTTTCATGAATGCACACATTCTTTATTTACCCAGGGGAAAACTACAACTAGAAAGATATTAGTTATCCGGTGCAATAAGCTTTTCATGGTTATAAAAAATTGAGCTGTCAGTTTTTTGTAACAAACAAAACGAAGAAATCAATGTGATACTTTTCAATAAAAAACATTGTCTCCTTGAAATAAGACCTAATTTCGTTAAAGGATGAAGATATGGCGTCATGAAGACGGATAATTTCTGGGCTCATGTTCATATAGGCTTTTCTCTATATCCCAATGCGCAGGATGCATTCTTGAATTGTTCTGACAACATCTTCTGGAACCCTATATATTTTGTATAGAAGCCTTTACAACATCTTCTGGAACCCTATATATTTTGTATAGAAGCCTTTATATCACACAACATTTTATTGGCAGTTCTTATACAAATAACGACAAATAATAATCAATATTCACTCTTCACAGTCTTCTTCCTCCTCCACCACCAGCGTTATCCTCCTCTGGATGAGCTGCATTCCATTCTAGCGCTCTCTGTATCTCGATGGGTATTGGCGGAGGTACCGGCAAATGGGCTCCTTGAGGTTGAAAGCCATTTTCATTGGCGATGTAGGAGATCTGCACTGGGGTGCCGTCTGGTGAAGTATATTGGAATTGGCCCTGGGCTTCACCCGCTGAGTCTTGGGCATTGGCGTTTTTCAGTTGGCCTTGCTCCTGAGCGGATATGCCGTTGTCAGCTTCAAAACTGAAATGAAATTCAAAGGTTCAGTTATGTTACTGAGGTAGTAGGTAGTGCTAGGGTCAATTGAATAGCTTTTCTTTACACTCTCCCTATCTTTGATGGGTAAAGCATCAGGTGAATCGAGTGGTGAAAAAGTAGAGTTTTACCTATTCTTTATTTGAAAGTTCTGAGAAAATCTAATATGCTCTTTCTCTAAGGACCCAAATTCATGAACCGTATGGCATGTGTTATCTTAAAAAAAGCTTTCTGATAAGCAGCCACGTTGACGAAAATGAGATGCTGTGAGCAAAGACGCTATCTACGTCATTTTGAACATCTGGAAGCTGTCGAATTGATTGATTTTGTCTTTGATGGCCCTACTGAAATTTCCGTGACGCCAAGTATAAAAGGCTAATCTCCTTCCTTAAATAACTATTTAACGTGCTAATACCGTTCTATCTTCAAATCCTAATATTTATAAATAGATTGTTGTAAGGAAGCATCTAGCATTCAAATGAATCCTTACTATATGGAACAGAAGTAGCAATCAGGTGGAGGATGTCTTATAAGTACAGCGGTATCATTAACATAGTACATAAATAAAATAAAATAAACATGTAGTGGTGCTGCCATCATTTCTACATAACTAGGTATGCTTAAATCATTAATCACAATTTGAGTGTCACCCAATTAAATCGGGCAAGTTATAATAATAATATTTGTTTGCTTTCAGTGCAATTACAAATGTTCCAGGCGAAATAAAATACATCCAAATAAATTTGAAATACCCATAGAAGGCAAAGCCTGTGCGTGGTGAGATGTCTATCCAATATTCAGTCTATATCAGTATAATTGTCATTATAGGTACAATAGTCAATTAGGAAGTTAATATACTTAACCTTATGTATATACTAAGAACTTTTAAAAGAATTCCTTGACAGTTTTATAAAAAAAGTTTGAATCGATTTATATGTATTTGAAAGAATTAGCTGAGGCGAGGTATTTCATTATTCCACTTTTTTGTTCTTTTTTAAACTGCATAGAGTTATACTGTTTTAAGATAATAGGCAAACTATTATAAAGCTTTGGTCCTAGGTATTGGAAGGATCTCTGCATGACATTGACATGAAGCTTTGGTAAACATGCTCTTACTTTATGGCCGATATCATAGTCATGCTCAGTTTGGCGTAACTTATATTTCAGTTGGTGCTGCTTCATGATGGTCTGGATGAAGTATAGTTGTCGAATATCATGCACTGCAATTTCGGTATATAACTGTTCTGTTTGGTATGTTCTTGGCTTACTATATATTACCTTTAGAATGTACTTTTGTATTGTCTCAAGATTTTTCATGTGTGTCTTACACGCTGCTCCTCACGAGATCACACCATACCTCAAATGGCTCTCAACTAGTGAATAATAGAATACATACTTTCATTTGATGGAAGTCATAGTATTTCATAAGATACGAAATGCATGTGCGTGTTCCATTTAAGGGTAGAATCTAGGTACACTCCCAGATATTTAACACTGCGCGAAGAAATTAGTTACAATTGTTCGTTTTGGTTGTTTTTCAGCTCAATGTTTAAATTTGAATATTTGGGCATATATCGTTCACAGGATGAAAATGGGATGTAACAATTTTTGTTGTAATTTACGGTTAAAAGTAGTTGAACCATTTGATATTCTTGCAAAATTCTGTTTCTGTTAGAGGTTTGACGTTGTCCCAGTTTTGAGAACTATATAATATGATGGCCGTGTCGTCAGCAAAACTTATGATTTTTCCTCGATGTTCTAGTAAATATATACTAAGTGACATATAAATCCGAACACCCAGTTTAAATGGTTTTATTTTAATAAAAGTTGGTGAATGTGTTTATCTTACTGTAAATAACAAGTGAAAAAATGTTCAGCCTTATCAGTTGGACATTCCGGTTTTTATACTGCTTTTTTTTAATTCACTAACGCTCCAAAAATGAATATTTCAGCCGCAGTAAAGAATCGACGTTGGCGGATTTTGGTTCTTGACATCCTTTACGATCGGTTACGAGTACGGAGACCTGTACAATTTCGTCAACTTAGTGAGTTTGATAGGGGCTGTATAGTGGGACTTCGGGAAGCTGGACTTTCTTTTCGGGCAATTGCAGTTAGAGTGCAAAGAAGTGTAGACACTGTGGTTAGGTGTTGTCAGGCATGGCATCGAGAAGGCCGTACGCAAAGAGCAAGGGGCACTGGACGCCGCCGTAGAACAACAGACCGTGAAGATCGCCGCCTAAGATCATTGGCCTTAAGGGACCGTTTCTCCACTACCAGGTCGATTGAAAATGAATGGTTTACAGAACACGGAAGACCTATTGGCATGCGAAGTGTTTACCGACGAATGAGAAGTTTTGGCTTGTTTTCATACCGGCCACACTGGGTCCTCCCTTTAACTCGAGAACACCGACGTAATCGCCTTGAGTGGTGCAGACAACGGTCACTCTGGGATCAGGAATGGAACAGTATTGTCTTTAGTGACGAGTCTCGATTTTGTTTAGGCATGCACGATGGTCGTGCCAGGGTTAGAAGGCGACGTGGTGAAAGGAGGAATCCACAGTTTTTTGTTGAAAGACATGTTCATCACACTGTTGGAGTTATGGTTAGGGGTGCTATAGCTTATGGTACCTTTAATCTTCATCAGAGGTAACATGAACGCGCAGCGTTATATCCACGAAGTTCTAGAACCCCATCTTTTACCCTATCTTGACACCCTGGCAGATCCAACTTTCCAACAAGATAATGCCCGACCACATGTTGCAAGAGTCACAATAGACTTCTTTCAACATAATGATGTCACATTGTTACCATGGCCACCAAGATCTCCCGACTTATCCCCAATTGAGCACGTGTGGGATATGATGGGTAGGAGATTGCTCAATTTGCAACGTCCTCCTCAGACTCTAGAAGCACTTCGAGAGGAGTCGGTGGTTGCCTGGAATGAGATACCACAGTAGGTCATTGACCACCTGATCAGAAGCATGCCTAGGCGCGTTGGAGAATGCGTAGCACATCAGGGTGCATCCACACATTATTAAAGGGCTTTAAAGCAGTGCAATCATTTTGAAATTTTTATCATTTACTTATTATGCTTCATTAAGTACTTATACAAAATTTTATTAAAATAAAACCATTTAAACTGGGTGTTCGGATTTATGTCACTTAGTATAGTTCGTTAACGTAAATATTAAATAATATCGGTGCCAATACAGTTCCTTGTGGTATTCCAAACTTCGCTGTTCTGCCATCACTCAAAGTATCATTAATCTTCACATAATGCGTCCTATTTGATAGGTAGGATTTCATTAATGACTATGCAATGTCACTAAAGCCTACTCTTTCTAAAACCGCGAGGAGTTGGTTGTGGCTAACTGTATCGAATGCCTTCTATAGGTCGACAAAGACACATAGAGTTGGGTCCTTTCAGTTTATATTACTGGAAACCTTAGTCATAAGATCAAGTATTGCATCATCTGTTGACTTCCCTTGTCTAAATCCAAATTGTTTATTATATATTGTTTTGTATTTATCTAAGTAAGCTATCATACGTTTTTTCAGAATCTTTTCAAAAATTTTAGCTAACGAAGATATTAACGATATAGGTCGGTAGTTAGTTACTTCCGACCTTCCCCCAGTTTTGTATATGGGTGTTATTATTGCAGTTTTGAATATAGCTGGGAAATATCCACTCTGGAATATTTTATGAAAAATATATTTTAAAGGTGGGGCTATTTCAGATGATATGATTTTAAGGTGCTGAGGCCGGATTGTGTCCAAGCCCGGGGACTTGTTTTTTAAAGAATTTATTGTTTCAATTATTTCTTCATCATCTGTATCATAAAGAAAGAATGAGTTTTGTCGAGAGTGCTGTGGGAAATTTGTATTAGTGTCTATATCTTCAATTAGCTTATCTGCGAGAGTCTCACCTACATGTGCATAATAATCGGCAAACCTATTTGCTATCATTTTTCTGTCAGAGCTTTTATTGTCATCATCTAGTTTTATTCCATGTATTCCGATTTGATTGTTGCCTCCTATCAATTTGTTCAGGGACCTCCACAACTTAGTTGGATTAGATCTGTTATTTTCCAGCTCTTTTTGGTAGTAGTTTCTCTTCGCTGCATCAACTAAATCTCCAAGTTTGTTTCTGTAGTTGTTGTAGTTTGTTTTTTTCTCTTCGGTTGGGTTATTTTTGAGCTCTGTGTATAATTTGTTTCTTTCCTCTATGAATTTGATTAATCCGCCTGTGAGCCGTGGCGTTCTTTTTTTGGATCTTGCTTTAATTCTGAACATTTGTACTTCTGTCTACAATATTTTTAATAGTTTCCACTAATATTTCGGCCGCTGCATCTATCGTGTCTGCAACATAAACAATCAGCCAATTTTCGGCTCTGGCATTGTTGAATAATTTATCTCTATCAGTACAATGTATTTATATAGCATGTTATGCAGTCAATCATGTTGCTTATTTTGAGTGCGTAATGGAGTAAACACCTGAGAAATGATCGGTTATATCAGAGTGGATGACAGCTGGAATATAGTTGTCAGTAGGCAATGAATGTCGAACAAAGATGGGATCTATATAGGAATTAGCTTGTCCCTGTACTCTAGTAAAATCATTTATATAAGATAGAAATCCATGACTACTCAAACATACTAACATATTTGCTTGATAAGTTACTATTACCTTTGATATATACAGGTATATATTTATATCGCCAACCAGCACATGCACACACGTGCTACTAATTCTGGATAGGTAATGTCGAGACATTCTATGAACTCGTGTGGCCATGTACTGGGAGGTCTATAAATCGTCATTTTAAGTTTTTTGTTATCAAATTGAGATCCATCTCTAAAAGTTTAAGATTGTTATCAAGTGATATAATGTGGTCGCGACAAAGTAGTTCAAATAAGCCATCATTCTTGTTGATATCACCTTCATTATAAAAGTTAGCGTAGCCGTCAATGCCAAACAGAGATGCATCCTCAATTCGTCACGTTTCTGATAATATGATTATGTCAAATTTGTGTTTTATTTCCTCCAAATGTAGTTTTAAACTGTCTAGGTTTTTACAGCTACTCCTAATAATGAGATGAAGTAAGCTTAAGCTATCCGTTTCACTAGGAATTATATTATCAATTTCAGATACATCTTTCAATATTGGCAGTTTGTATAAATTTAGGTTCAACGTGTTTTACAAAATGATCCATTTCCTTTTTAGACATGACAAAAACGTGTTACATTTAAAAAAAGGGACAATACACAATGTGTTCATATTTATAGTAGCTAAAATAGGATAGTCAATGTTGTTACTACAGATCAATTCTATTCTATTTGGGTAAGATATTTACTATCATACAAAAAATCACCTCCATCTGTAGGATCCATCTATGTCGACATCAGCTGCCTGGCTAACAATCCTCACCTCACGTCCTGGAGATTGTGGTTCAAACGCAGCTCTGGGCGCAACTCTAGGCACTGCTTTAGGTACAATAGCTCTAAGCGTCCTTGTCCCATCGTTCTGGCGAGCAGAACTGACAGTATCATCTAAGAAAAAGCAATTTTTAAGCATTACATTATGGAATCATCCACTACTACAAATATAGCTTAATTCATTTTTCAAGTGAGGTTCGAGTAAGTATTTTGTCGTTTTATGATGGAATTAGAAGAAATCGCGATAATCTATTATCTACAGCGGAAAAGAATAAAGGAAAGAGAAAAAGCTTGAGTTGTTCGTTAAAGGCTGGAGCGGAAATTTCATAAATCAAGAAAAATGTGGAGAAATATTACCAGTTGCAGACTTATTTTGCATTGAAATGAATATAGGTTGATATGCTGTGATTGCAACATGTGTTGTTTTTATGCTGCAAATCTGATTAGGGAGTGATAATGTTGGTGTTTTCTACTATATATTATCAAAATATTCATTTTTAATATTTTAAACCTATAACACCCTGCTACATCTTTATTATTTGTGTTTGATAAGAAAATGATGATTTGTCAAGTACAAATATGGCTGTACGACATCCGCTGTGTGGTGCTGTGATCGAGCACCTAGCGGGAAGGTACTTGGGTATCATGTGCAACAGAGAGTGTGGTATGAGAAATGAGATGGTACTATTAACGAGCGTTAAAGCGAAAACCATTCCATTCACATACTTTTGGGTAATTACAGGCTTAGCAAAATATATATACAATGCCCGAATTGCTTGAGGGAGCTCGTTACATTGGGATTTCCAGATGAAAGGAGGCAGTATGCAGCTACAGAAAGTCGGGAGTGATATCAACGAGCGATGAGACGAGAAACCTGTTTATTCGCAGTGTGTGCAACTGTGATTCAGTCAACGTAAAGAGGTTCAGCGCTGCAGGGCTTTGATGCTTTGACAGTTCGCATAATTTAACCAATAAAATACCGTATCTGACCCGCCAAGTGACCAGCTGACAAAGATGTCACATGGCTAATGGTATTCAACACAAAAGCGCTCTTCTGCTGAACCGCTTTACATTGGAACGTGCTCAATGAGTGTATCAAAAACTTCCGAAAACCTCCGAAAAAATAACAGAAAAAACTTATCTAGAGTACCAAATATTTTTGAGGAAGTTGATGGTACCAACGGGCGAGAAGACACAAATCACTTGCTTTCACACTGACTTCATTAAGGCTCAGGAAAATACTTCGGAGAGAAACGCTATGTGCTGGAGTACCAGGAACCCTTGAGAGACCTGGCGCTACTATACGGTGATAATACGCGGAAGATTTTCATATAGGTACATTAATGTAGTAACGCTCAGACAAAAATGCAAAATGCCTACAGATAAGACACGAATCCTTTGCATTCACTTCAACTTTATCAAAACTCAGGAAAAGTACCTCAAAGAGAAATGCAATATGCTACAGTACCAGCAACTCCCCAGAGACCTGGCACTACTATACGGCGATATAAGATGCTCAGGAAGAAAAACTCCAACGCCAGAAATTCTTGAAAGAGCTGTGCGATGAGAACATTCACATAAACCTTAACGATTTTGGAGAAATCCTCCTCAAAGGAACGGACACAGTATGCAGCAACAGAATGCCTGGAGCGAAGTGGTGATATCAACGGGCGATGAGACGAGAAACCTTTACATTCACGTTATTTTTATATCAGAATCAAGAA